TCCAGACCAAAGATCGTATAGCGCCGAAGGCGCAAGATGGATAACTCTGCCCAAAAGGTGTAATCACCATGGGCGCCATTTGAGCAAGCGATACGCCTGGGCAGTTTACAGTAATGCTTGGGTGGAGGCTCAACAGGTGCACTTGCCTGCCGCAGCGCCTGTGTATTAATGCGCATTGCGCAGACGTATCACTTGCTCAAATGGCGCCCATGCGATTACAACGTTTTACGTGTATTCACGGCGATGTTCGCCATCTTGTGCCACTTCGCGGCGCTATACGATCTTTGCTTCAGACCATCACTGTTTGATTAAAATTAACTTTTTAGGACAAAAGTACTCGGAAAGTACTCGGCCGAGTACTTTTCTCCTTAAAACTTAAATTTTACACAACTGGGAGTGTCTGAAGTCTAACATTTATTTTGTAATCTTACCTTTGCACATTTACCATCAAATGCCTGTGCACTCTGGCTTTATTCCCTCTTACCCAGTTCAGTAATTTGCGAAAAAGGTTGGTACTCGGAAAGTACTCGACTGCAACACTGTCTGAAGGATAACGATAATAGAATATTATTGTCACATGTTGATGTCATGGCGCACTTTTTTCGCTGAGTGCAGCCCACACGAGTATATATGTAAATTCTACAGTACACATACAGTAATGTACTCCCCAGACCGCACCTGATTATAATGCATATACAGGTGCACTTATTGTTTCACACGTCTTGCATAATGGCGTCACCACCACGTGCTCTAGAAGGATGGCAGATTTTGAAATAACAGGTATCGCCGGCTGTTTAACAGGGAAAGTCAACCAATCTTTCTCCAGCTGGCTTGGAATGAAGTATCTCACTCATGCAGTAACCGTGTAAATTACCCGCATTCAGTAACAATGTAAAACTTTTCTGTTGTGGAGGTTTTTAGCAAAGATTGTATAGCGCCACGTAGCAGCATGAATATACATGAAATGTAATAATCGCATGGGGGCCATTTCAGTAAGCAATACGCCTGCGCAGTGCACATTAATGCACAGGTGCAGGCACAGGCACCGCGGCAGGCACGTACACCTGGTGCACCTGTGCATTACCGCGAACCACGCAGGCGTATCGCTTGCTCAAATGGTGCCCATGGTGATTACACCCTTTGGGCAGAGTTATCCATCTTGCGCCTTCGGCGCTTTACGATCTTTGGTTTTTAGTATGGTACTGCTCACAAACTGACTTGCGGTTGCCACTGTTGAATAATTAGGAGTCTTGGAACTAATCTTGGGGTTTTGCTGTATAGCACTGCTGAGTTGTAGGACACCTGTGTGAGCCTGTCACATCCTGGCATTTTACTGGTACTCCAGCATTTCTGAGTTTTTAAAACAAAACAATTGAAGCAATTTGGGATTTTAATTACTTAGCATTTATTCACAAATGAATCAGTGTGTTGTATGTATAGTTGAGTCCATCCCAAATCTCTGCTGGACCCCTCCACGTCCACCAGTCTGAAGCCAAGTCTATCCGTCACAAGCCATGCAAATCAACTGTGACAGTTCAGTATTCCTTCGTCACTGTTTGTCCTGTTTGTCGTGACCGATCTTATGAGGGGAGTTGTCAGTGGACTAGTTGAGGGACTTGTGATAGAGACGACTGCATGAATCGATGAAAACTGTACAGGGCTAATGTAGCTTTTGGCACAACAGAAAGTAACATGCAGGGCATTGTGGGATTGTGCAAGCATTAGTTATTCAATGCATTTCTTTCTTATTAAGTCACAACCCTTTTCATCTGTTGGATACGACAAAATAACACGGTTTCTCTACTTCTTTTGGCACTTTTTGCCAGGGCGGCCAAGTTGTTGGTGATCGAGCGACTGCTCAAGCTGGCGGAGACCTACATCACCACGGTGGAGGACCAACACCTGGCACCCCGCACCATCCTGCCCCACGGCGCTTCCTACCAGGGACAGCCCATCACCATGCAGGTTGTCTGCGACTCACCCAAGTATGACTTCATCCTCGTGGTGAGTTCCCATTACCCAGTGCAACCTGTTCGCATCTGTAATATAATGTACATCTCTGTAGCGATTTGCTGGTCAATTCAGAAAACCTGATGGTGCTTTAGAGTGGTTCTGGCCAGTAAAGTCATGGCTGGTTTTGACTTGGCCCTGACTCTGAGACTAAATTCTTCTTGAGTTTAGCTGGCGTAAGTTGAAGCTGAATGTGGGGGAGTGGGCTAAAAACTTTAAAGTAAAAGCCGAAACTTCTGAACTGAAAGGGACAAGTTTTGACATTATCAGAAAGAAAGATAGTGCTTTGAACTTCATATGATAGGTACTGATTTTTGAAATTTATTTGAGAAATAGTGCAACAAGTATTGCTTGATTCAAATTTTGTGAAATTTTGCCAGTCCCCAAAAAATTGTAGGACTGTGCGTCTGAACAGGGTACAGATTGCCCTATCAGTGTCCTGAATTGGTGATAAATTATGGAACAAGGCATCTTAAACTGCCTACACAGATTACTTTGTAATTATATAATAGACAAACAAAAGAAAGGTTCTGAAGGTTTTTATGGGGAAATTATGAAATAAAACACTGAGTTACATGGAATGTCTTTCTTGCTTATGTGCCAAGGTTGTTAATAAGTATTTCTGTTTAAGACAATTTTGGTAGTTTGAATGCATGGAAACATTGATTGTGCTTGTTTCCTTGCATTTTAGGGTTTCTACAAGCACCCAGCCGTTCATGCTAAATACTTGAGTTGTTCTATGAATTTGGGTCCTTTTTTTTACTAGGTCCCTGTCAGACATGGCATAAGATTTTGTAGAAGTTTGAAACCCATTCTCTAATTTCCAAGAGTGACTATATGCAAATTATCTTGCAAGCAATTAAAAACAGTCTGAAGTCAATGTCAGCGATAATTCCATGTCAGTTTACGCAGACCAGGTGTAAAAGGCACACAAAAAAGTGACACTTTTGGACCCTTAATTAATAGAATGAACCACTCGAAAGATTACCTGGTTCTTGTACTTGCACTCTCCATAACCAATAGGACTGAGGAATGTAGAACCCAACTCTAGCATTTCTGTGGACATACTGGCCTCTTGAAACTTCACCAACAAAAAAAAAAGGGTTGTTAATTTCTGGCTCACTGGAGGACTGATGAAGGTTTGGAACGTTTCTTTAATATCCATGTAAAATACGCCTAGAAAAGAACCTTGAACTTTCCTTCGTGTTGCATTCACAGGGCCACGGGAATGAGACGTTGCAAAGTGTCCGGCAGCGGATAGCCCAGCGGATGCGGACGACCATCGACAACATCCAGATTGCTGCGAACGAGAGGATGGTAATGGAGGAAATGGTCCACAGACCGGGATTTTCACTGCCATAAAGGGCAGCTCTGTCTTGTGCATTGCTTGAATAGACCTGAAGCCAATTTTGATTGTGTCTTGTTACCTGCAATCTGTTAATTGGGTGGTGCCAGACTATTTTTGGTTCCACGCCTTACTTTTTTCTTATACATGTATGTGGCTTACATGTAATTAATTACAAATTCTGAATTATTCATCGGCATGACATTAATTTGTGGTGATCTTTTATTTGTTGCTTTCATTTTTTTTCTCGGATTCCCAAAACAGAAAAATCAGCCGCACTTTCAATTCAATATGGCCGACTTGTGAATGAGTCCAATCACAAAGCCCAGTTGGCATCACCAGCAACAGCTTCTACATGTATACCCTGTTCATTCTTGGCCTTGTCAAAGTCACAAAATGACTACTGTCTGGCTGTTGTAATGTCTAAGCATGAGGGGCTATTTTCAGTTCTTGGCAGTGAACTGAACTGCAACCTGTCATCACTTTCTGGTCCCCGATGCTGGAAATTTTTACCTCACGTTGCTCTCAGCTTCGGGTCTCTTGACAGTTGTAAGGATAAATTAAAAGTTCCTGTGAATACTTCTGCCAGACGAAAACCTCTTTCTGTAACATTTCTGCTGGGGTTGTCCTTTGTTGAATCTTGCAAAAGTGTGTGTTTTAAAAACATGTAAATATTGAAACTGGTTTTGTCTGATTCCTTCTGGCATAGCTGATGTCCAACAAGTACCCGAAGCTCCTGAGGCAATTAGAGTTTGAAGACCAACAATTGTTAACCGTCAAGCAGTTTGGAACATCTGTCTCAAGAATTGATGAGGTACTCTTTTTTAGCAAACCAGGATACAGCCCTAGCAGTTATAAACTGTTTTCCTAGTTTTTAGAGGCGGGAGGAAAACCTAGGACAAATATTCTTGGGAAAACCGCGGGAATCAGGTAGGGACTGAGAACACAACCCACATGTTGGCCTAGGCTGGATTCGAACCCAGGTTTACACAGGTGGTCGACAAGGAAAGAACCATTATGCCACTTTGACTCCTTGGGTACAGCTAGAGAAATGTAAAAATGTGATCATTTAATTTTTGAGGGAAATTTGCTAATTCATGGAGCTCTAACTATAAACAGACTTTTATAAAAAAAGGGACATTTTGAGACGACCACATGTAAATTAAACCCAAAAGGGAAAGGTGAATGGATCTATTTTTTGTTTGCTCTGCAGAGCATCCCGTTCACTGGCAGACAGAACTACATCACCGATCTGGAGAGGTCGTTGCCGGGTGTTGTCATGGCAACAGGAGGTCAAGTCTTTGAGATGCTGTACCAGCTTGCGGAGCTGGAAGGATCCAGGTTAGTTTTGGTGGAAAGAAATTGGATTTCTAAGCAGCAGCCCGAGGCCAACCTGATGCCGTCAACTTTTCGGTTAGTCAACTGTCATGCTTGAATTGATTTGCTGAATGTGGAGAAATTGTATTCCTCATTATCGTCATCTTTCACCTGATCCACTGTGGGGGATGTAGAGCCCCCCCGATCAAGCGATCGGATGCAGACTGCCACGGCTGTCGTGCTCCTTTTTCATTGTCACCTGTCAGCTGGTGCACCCAGGTGTTGCATGATGCTCCAACTTGACTTGGAGTCTGAAATCAGTCCACAGAAACAAGATTAATCTTGCTCCACTTCCTGGTTGTTCCTGTTATAGAACGACGCATTCTCATTCCCAAGGGGCGTTGTCATCATGAATATTCCAAGGATTTGTTTGTCGTTGCTCCAGGTTGACAGAGAGAGTGCGGAATTTGCTGATGCTTATCCCAACCGATCCCACAGTCCAGGAAGCACTCGATTCTATCTGTAGGCAGGTAAGATTGGATAATTCTCGCTAAGCCCTGATAACATTTGCTCAGCAGAAAAATAATGTGTACCAGTCTAAATGCCCCGGAAATTATATCTTTTTGAAATTGGTGCCCTGCTCATTGGTGCCAATCACAGGATTTAAATGAAATGAGTGTTTTCAGGGCAACCAGTTTAGCCCACGGTTCTTTGTTTTCTATCAACAGACAGAAGGGACCTCTGTAGATTGGGGCGACAGTCTCAACTCCCCGAAGGAGACCTCCAAAGCCACCCTGGAATCCCTCTTTAAAACCAACTCTCAGAGCATGTCGGCGTTCAGGCTACTGTATAACCTTGAGGTAGGTCCGTCTCAATTTTTTTTTTAGATGTGCTGGATTGCGGGTTAGCCCAGCATGAAAATAACAGCTCCACGCTTGGGCCAGCACCAATATGGGACCATTTTCTGTAGTAAGAAGTAATGGATAGGGGTTGCGAAGTTGACAGTGTTTAGAATTTAGGAAAATTGTAATACGAAATCATTGGAAATTGGAATTTTTAAAAACTTGTCTTGACTTTCCGGCTCAACGGTAGTTATGCATGGGTCTTCATTTAAGACTGGCCAAACACATATTTAATTCTGGGGTAGTATCTTTATTGCAATGATAGTGTTTTCGATACGGCTGTTTCACAATAGTGCGCCACCAAGAGTTTGCAACGCGTTGGCAAAAATCACAGTGCGCGAAATCTGTAGACTAAACACGCGTTTGGAAAGGGTCGACAGATTTCGCACGTTGTGATTGGCCAACCCATTGCAAACTCTTGGTGGCGCGCTATTGTGAATCACCCGTATTGCCATACTTCCCTTCCCATCTCCGTCGACCTCCCAAAGGTCCTGAGCAGTCGCCTGGTGCCCTCCCTCCAAGAGGATAAGGCCACGCAGGCCAGCGCCCAGACCTTCCGGGAGAACTTTCTCAGTGCTGGCGGGCTGAGCCTTGTGATCAGCGTGCTGCAGAAGGAGTCCATTCCCCAGGACCTGGACGAAGAGACGCGGAGGGGTTGCTACATGATCTGCCTGCACCTGGCCAGGTTGGTCGCCAGAGCACATGCTTAAGAAGGTGTAGAGGAGGTCGTGAAGGAGTGTATGCTGTATGAAGCGATCTAAACACATGCTGATGGATGTAGTCTAGGAAATGACGTACTTTCTGATGCTGTAAAAGTTTGTTTTACAGAAAGTGGGGGATCTTTAAGAAGTGTTGATCAGAGGGCAAAAATCTTTATGGAAAGTGTGACACAGGATTGAACCTTGTCTTTGACATCTTACTGGGAATCTTGAATGCATTTGATTTGTTTTAGAGATTTCCAGTAACTGCCTTAGGAGTTTAGCACTCGTGCTTTCAAGAAGTGGCATTCTTACAAAGAAATATCTAAAAGTGGGAACAATATATCATTGTGAGGTCGGCTGTTAGGATATTTGAGAAGAAATGGATGGTAGAGTTGACAAATGGGGAAGAGATTTGAAGAATTGGAATTTTGCATATCTTGAGTTTTTGGGGCATTTTGGATGGCAGGTTTCTCCTTTGTGGTGAGACCACTACGGCTGAAATGGAGAGTGACCTGTCGCTGACCGAGGGCCAGGCAAACCTCTCAGCCGACAGTGCCACGGGGGCCCTGTCTTCCAGTTATGGAACCTCGCCGCGCAAGATGAGCCTGGTGGAGCGGATGTCCAGTGTGGAGGCCAGCGGGGATGTCGCCAACCGAGAGGGGACTTCCAAGGCCATTGCCGTCATACAGGTATGTCCTCACAGTATCATTGTGGGGACGTTGTCAACCAAAGAGGGCATATAGAAACTATTGTGGTCCTGCAAATATGTCCTCATGGTGTCATTGTGGTGACATCACATATGGAGAGGGGACATCGAAGGCCATTATTGTCCTACAGGTATGTGCTCACAGTGTTGTGTGAGATGGGAATTGAACCCGGGCCGCAGAAGTGACAGGCGAGGAAAGAACCATTATGCCAATCATGGTCCCTTTTTGTAAGTCCACAATGGTATCACAACTTGTAACAAAACAAAGGATTTTCATTCGGTTTGAAAAAAAAAAAAAGAATCCTCATAAAACTAACTGGATGTTTCTCTTCTCCACCCACCCAGACGATGAGCACGTCAGACTTTTCGTCCATGATTGGCTGCCTGATGCGAGTCTGCTGGGCGGCAGCCGCCGGCCAACTCCGCCTCGCCAGCTCCGCCCACCAGATCAAGGAGAACCCTGGGGGTGGGTTTGCCATGGGCGTCAACAGGCGGAGCCGTCACAGTAGCACAGGTACAAACTCGTCTCGCTGGCGCTCATCGAGTCCATTAAACTTGCTGTTGTTGTTGGATTTTTGTCATCCGATGAAGTCAGGGGTTGAAATCCAGAACTTGGTTACACATGTTGAGACCTGGGGCAGGTCACTTGCCTCTCTCCACCCCGTCTGCACTTAAAATTTACAGGCCCGATGAGCAGGGGTAATAATAATTTCAGCAGCGTATTGAGTCTTTAAAACCAGCTTTGTAAGCAGGGTACCCACAGTCATAGAACATCATGGAATAAAGTTGTCCTGGAAACTTATGGAAAAATCATGGAAAATTGGGGGGAAAATAGCATTTCCTGGAATCCTGTTAGAGAAAAGAAAGTCACTGAAATCAGTGGCAGTTTTCGGGTTGATAATGCCAAACAAGTTTCATTTTATTTATTTTATTTTAGTCCTGGAAAGTCCTGGAAAAGTCATGGAATTGTTTTCATATTTCTGTGGGGACCCTGAAAAGAAGAATCTATTTCTCGTGAAGCCTCTGTGAATCATTTTCCCTTGTAGCTTGTGAATTAAAGGTTTCAGTGTATATAAAAAAAAATCAGATGGTGTTGTGTTCAATACCGATGGCTGTGGCTATGTTGACCGAGTACGTTGAGTGGGAAATTACTACAGCAACCAGCCAGTGGCTACCATAGACCAGTGTGTTATTTCCAAGCCTCGACCATTAGATTTGGACGTGGCTCGCCCCCCGTGCCTTCACATTTGTTCCTCGTTGATGTTCTGCAGGGAGTTCGTCCAGCGATGCCGACGTTCAGAGCCTCCACGCCGGGGTCTGTCTGTTAGCGACCCACGTCTCCACCAAGGATGCCATGATAGCGCGGGAGGCCCTGGAGCTGCTGGTGGCCTGCCTGCAACTCAGGAGCCACAACCTTTGTAAGCCACAGACTCTGTAGGGTGGGATTTGCCCTCGAAATGGAGAGATGGTGGTTGTGATATGGGAGACAAAATGTGATTTGGGCAGGCATCGTCTAAAAACGACAACTTTGCCGGAAATGACATTCAGGCTGGCGATGGCATTTTGGTGGTGTGGATGTGATTTCGGACGATGCCTACCAAAATCGCATCCAGGCCAATGGCCTTTCCATTTTTGTAAAGAAACCATGTCCAATCAGTGAGGAAAGAAGGAATGTACAAACATGACAAATACTGACTGCATCGAGTCTGTTGCTAATCAGTTTTTGTGTTTTTTTGTGCCGATTTGAAGCTCTCGCGCAAATTTTTCTGTTTTTTGTGCCGATTTGAAGCTCTTGCGCAAGTTTTTCTGTTTTTTTGTGCCGAAATGAAGCTCTCGCGCAAGTTTTTCTGTTTTTTGTACCGATTTGAAGCTCTCGTGCAACTTTTTCTCTCGAGAGTATTCGAGTAGTTCAGGCCGAGGACTATCAACCGTTTTCATTTCCCACGCAGCGTCTTTCTACCACATGCCGGCCATGAGCGACTTTGTCATCGACATCCTCCTGGCCTGCCCCCACAGCGAGGTGCGCACAGCCGCCATGGAGCAGTTCCACACGCTCAGCGAGACCGGGGTTAACCCGGAGAGTATACGCACGCTCCACCCCAGGCACTTCCTGCTACAGGTGACTATCAGCTGCCATGTCCCCCTCTTTCCCGTTGCTGCCCAAGGTCTTTTTTTAAGGGTTTTTTTCACGTCTTGCCAAGCTCCAGGGTGAAGAATTTGGTCCCTTACAAATTTTTTGCCTCTGGAATATTGAAGTGGTGTTGAGTGCCCCAGCCGTGTATGTGGAGTTGACGTAAATTTTGCCCCAGGGGAAGGGATTGGTTGTATTTTTCAAGCCCCAGGGTGGGTATAGAGTTGCTCATGAACACTTTGTTAGTGTTGGCATGCCATATGGAAAGGCAGTCAGTCTTATGTGTCCGCTGTGTATGTTGCAGATTGGCAATTTAATGTTGCCCCCGGGGAGGGGATCGAGTCACTTCAGAAGTCACAGCCCCCTCATCTTTAGTGGGCCAGCTTGGGGGGGTGGGCATGGAAACAATTGATGCACACATCAACATGACATTAGCAGTCGAAGGGATTCGCAATGTCACAAAGCATTTGCCTCAGAGGGGACCAGCCTCTCTCTTAGCTTCCTGTAAATGTTGTCTTGCATGTGAACGGCCACACTTTGTTGCTCAAGTGTAATGTCAAAAGACACAGATGTGCACTCATGAGTATTGTGCGCTACAACAGCAGTCGGTTGGAGGAAAGATTTCCAGGCTACATTCGCCCCCCAAAGCACCTTGGACCGAAAGTTCTTGTCTCGTGTTTCAAGAAACTAAACCAGAAACACATTGCGAGTGTACAGCTTTAGTGTTGGGTTACATTGCAGGTTTTACTGAGCGTACCCGTGCCACTCTGGACGTCGAGCTGTCTCGTCAGGGGAACAAACCAAAGGTATGCTTGACCCATTGCTGACAAATATCAAGGCAGCTGTTCTGCCTCATGCTATAGTCGAGAATAGTGCATTTGTAAGTTGACAATATTGTCACTTCTAAACACTGAATTGTAAGCACTCCGTCTGTCGTGGAAGTATTTTTCATTAAAATGTAGCTAGAAACGATACATGTAGTTGCACTGAGATCGATTTGTAATTTTCCACTGTTTACCTTGGTGAACAAATATTAGTTCTCAAAATTTGTTAGCATGTCATGTATTCCTTACAGATACTCTGGTACATCTTAACATAAGGAGCTACTAATTTCTTGCATGTTTATGGTGTACCGCATTTTCGAAATTTTTTTTTTCGTCTTACAGGATAATTATGCAATGTTCACAGTACTTTGAGCTGAGGTGTCGACTTCTAGAACAATTAACAGGTAGGCCAAACTTGAAATTGGTTAATGTAATGTAGCATGGACCATTTTTGTTCCAAATGGTGCAGTGTTACTCTGCTTAAATATTTCGCTGGAACTTGAATTTGACAGCAGTGTATGATTTGTCTTGGTAATGTGTAACACCGTGAAGTATCGATTCAAAATGTGAAAGAAGCCTTTACGTTTTGGTCCTGCAGTTGATGACCAGCGCTTTCTGGACATCAACCCTACGTCCATGATCACAGACGAGATTGACTGGCTCAACAACTTTGAGCCCTGCGACTCGGAGGAGTCCAGCTTCCTGCAGACGGACAACATCATCATCGCCGGCCACCTGCAGCTGGCCAAGACGTTGCTGACGTGCGAAGGGGTGGACAAGAAGAAAATCGGTAACTCCGCCCTCTTGTTCCCCCCCTTGAAAAAAATAGATTGTCACAACAGAACAAAGAGAAATACAAGGATTCCTGACACTTTTTTTTGGTTCTGAATGATTTATACTCTGCAAAGGTTGACTTCATTTCGAGTTAATTTTTGCAGTTATTCCTGGGTGCAGAGTGCAGTCGCATTGACAGCGAATGAAATTTAAGGAAACAAGAATTGGATCTTGTCATTTTTTGGAACAGCATTTTTTTCTGAATTGACTGTCTCGATTTGCTCCTGTATTCTTTTGTTTTCCCAAATCTCAACATGGTCTTGTGTCTGGTCTTGTGCATGGTCTTGGGTCTGGTCTTGTGGCTGGTCTTGTGTCTGGTCATGTGCCTGGTCTTGGGTCTTGTCTTGTGGCTGGCCTTGTGCCTGGTCTTGTGTCTTGTCTTGTGGCTGGTCTTTCAAATGGTCTTGTGATGGTCTCGACTACAACACTGATGAATATGTGTGTCACGTGTTTACCATGTGGATTAAGATAGTCACCGATGAGTTTTCATAGTGAATGTTTGTTGGGTGTGAAACTCAAAAAAATTAGATAGCCCTGGCAACTTGCAGATCGTTCTGCTGGGTTGGTTCACACACAGTAATCTGTTCAGAGGATTCACGTGACGATTGTCCTCTTTTTGCCCCTCCCCCCGGGGGATATCAGGGAAGCAGCTGCTGGACAAGCTGTTGAATGAGTTCCTGTTCCCTGCATCCAGGCTAATCCTTGATAGTTCCAGCAATCCCGACAAGCTGAACCCTCAAGCGGAGCATAGTCCCAAGTAAGATGCTGTTAAACTACTAATGGCTACGAGTGAACTGGTCAGAATAGTTTGTCTGTAGTTGACTTTCGATATAAAAAATACCGCTGTAACAAAGTGCCGTTAATGAAGTGCTGATTCGGAGAAGCCGAAGTTCTTTAAGTATGTTTGTCTTTGTTTTTCCACACATTTTATTACAAAGTCCTGGTTATGACGGTAATTTTTCTGATCCCTGCAACTTTGTTATTTAACGAGAGATGACTGTATTTCCCAAAGTGAAGCCAAGTGGAATGGGAAATTCGGTCGGCTCTGTTATGAAATTGTTCTTTTTCATGGCACAAACGTGAAACTTTTTTTTTACAGCGCTTGAATCAATCTTTGTGTACAAGGTGCCATTTTACCTTTCCATTTCAGTTCAAACTAGACCTGCGTACTAATGGCGCCACACTTTGCTTTCCTGTGGTGCTGAGTGGACTATGGGCCCTCGCTGGCTCCATAGGAATATGCACCTGTAGACAAAGTGTGATGTCATCAGTTGGTAGCCCTATTGCAAAATGCTATTTGGAATAACTTAATGCTTCAACAGACGCTCCCTTGTGTCTTGCAGTTTTTTGTAGTCCTTCGCATGATCTATTTATTTCCTTCTGTTGGAATTAGCAGCGTCTATTTCAGATTTTGGTTTTTTTCCGTTATCAGATTGAACAGTGTTTCATGCCCATCGGTGTTGTGCGATACTTTTCTTTCTTTCAGGATCTCGGGAAGAGAAAGTCGCGTGGCGGCCTTCGACCTCTTGCTCGTGCTGTGCGAGGACTGTCCGGAGAATCTCCAGCTGGTCAGCTGCCAGCTCATCGCCATGCACCACCAGCAGGATCCAGCCATCGCCAAAGAGTGGGACGTGAGTTTCCCGACGAGAATGGACGTAGGCTCGGCTGACGTTAAGTGTGGGTCTTAGTGGTTTGCACCCACAGGGTTGCAAATGCCAAAACCACACTGGAGACCTGTGGCCTGGTGGTCAGGGCTCGTAACACCCAAACAGAGGGTCCGGGGTTCGAATCCAGCCACCGGTCACATGTTGTGACCTTGGGCAAGTCACTTTACCCCCGTTGTGTGACTTTTGTCTCTCTCCAGCCAGGAGTGTAACCGTCCTTGATCCTTCAAAATCTATCCGGAGATTTTGGAAAATTTGTGGGATTGAGGAAGGTTGAGCCCAGTCACTTTAACTTTTAAATCTGCTCCGATAGCCATTGACAGTCTGAACCGAAAATATGAAACATGGTTTTCTCGGATTGTGGAGAATTTTTTTTGGTTGGATTCGAGAGTGAGCGTCGCAAGAATGTTTAGGGAGAACAGATTAATACTGAACCAGGCTCAGAGATTTGTGTTGGTGTTTCTGGTTTGTAGTACCTTCCTCCTGTCGAGGGTCGATCACCCAGCAACTACGTGGGTCTGAAGAACGGTGGGGCGACGTGTTACATGAACTCCGTTATACAGCAGCTGTACATGACACCAGGCGTCAGAGAGGTACTCTCACTCAGACCGTTTGTCAGTTGATTGTCCTCACCGACAATTGTCACCTTGGCCCAACTTGAAGGTTTGGAGCACATGCCACTTAGCCTTATCCCAGCTGAACCTAAACCAACCCGCAACACCCCATGCCCATTTCCAATCCATTCCACCCTATCCCGTCCCAAACCCGTCCGCAATCCAAAACCCACCGCACTCTCAATCTCAGTCCGACCCACCCCGTCCACCTCCACAAAATCCGGCTCAGCCCAGCACAATAGCACCAAACCTAATCCGCATAGCCCAACCTAACCCCATGTTTGGCCCCATCCAACCCCATAGTCTTGTGTTTGAGCGTTTACTTCTCTGTTGGTTGAACTGAGCTGTGGGCTTGGGCGTGTTTGTTTTGTTCTTACTACAAATGAACATTTTCCACTGCTCTGGGATTTGACTGCTCTGGACGGGATGATATTCACTCATGCCGAATAGTTATCCACCGTCAGCAGGACCAAGAGAGGGTGCAATTTTCCCAGCAAGGGAGTCTCCTTTGGCGTGAACTGTACTTGGCAGGTTCACGAACAATAATATGAGATGCATGCATTGGGATCACGTGACTATCGCCAACATAAACACGCCCAACCCCAGGGCTCTGTTCAACCAATGAGGGGGTGCTTCTGCTCAAGGCGGATTTATCCACATCTAAGGCCTACTCTCGGACACAGTGATGTGATCACAACTACAGTAGGCCTGATGTAAACTCGCACTGGATAATTTGCCGTATTACATGGCCCAGCCAGAGGACAATTTGATCAAGGACCAGTAGTTGGTCTATAAGTCGCCTAGTGCATGTGCAATGAACTTAAAGTACGGATGACTCTAGTCAACTGTTGTCCGGTCATTTAGGACTATCGGGAGAAAAAGTGGCTGTGGGAAGGGCAAGAGAAAGGTCGAAATGACCATTTACTAGTGATATGCTTACATTTTCTGTTTTTCGACCATTTTTTCTTATAACTGGTCCTCTCGGCACTGTGCTACTAAAAACAGCTACTGCAACCAGTGACACGACCAACCTCGGTGGGCATGTTGCGAATAGTCAACTAGACTGGTCCCAGTATCACAGACCAGCCTGCATTAAATCAGAGTTAGTCCAACTATGGTTAACTATAGTCCTGGATCCGACGTGCCCCAGCCTGGTGAATACCCCCTCCCATCTCAAATCTGGACACTGTTACAGGGCCTGCTCAAGGACAGCAACCTGGACCTGGAGGAGGACAGCGTGTTCTACCAGATGCAGATGGTCTTCGGCCACCTGCTGGAGAGCCGGCTACAGTACTATGAGCCGGAGCGGTTCTGGCGCGTCTTCAAGCTCTGGGGCCAGCCAGTCAACATCCGGGAGCAGCAGGACGCCTTCGAGTTCTTCACCAACCTGACGGACCAGATGGAGGAGTACCTCAAGGTCGGTGGAGAGGGTCCATCTTGTCAGCACTATTTCCCAATAGACCTTATTCACGGGGAAGCCACGTTCGGTCTTGTTCCCTAGATCTATCATATTCAGTGTAATCTGTTAAATGGTGGGGGGGGGTGCCAGAGTATGTTGAGTTCTAAGCCTCACTTTCTATTTTTGTAAATGTGGCTTAAAACATTTAGATAAAGTTAATGACAAATTTTAAACTTCTAAATGTTAACTGGTAAGAATTTGTCACGATCTTTTATTTCGTTGCTTTTTTTTTACTCTCAAGTTCCCAAAATTAAAAGTTAAACTTCACTTTGAATTGAAGATGGCCGACACATAAATACAGTCTAAAGGCTTCTGTGCCGATGCTGTCAGACTTTGGACACATATTCACTTTCCTATGGAGCCAGCGGGGGCCCACAGTCCTTGGAGGACCACAGGAAGAGGCACATGTAAACAAAGCGAGGCTCACAGGGGTCTATTATGCAACATGTTGGCTGTTGACCAGAAGACATTTGTAATAATGGTTGCAGTAGACTTTGTCCCAACAAGAACATTCTCGTGGGAACTGAATAGGTTTTGAAGTGTAAGAATGCACCGGCAGTGCTGTCAGTCTTTTAAACAAACTCCTGGCACGTTGGAGAACAATCCTTTTTTTGCATTGTGCTTAAAACAGGTGCATATGCCTTTCGCTTTGCAAAGAGGGCGCCGTGTGTATGTATCATTGGTGGTCAGTGTGTTATCCTCTTATTAAAGGGCGTGGTTTATGAAACAAGGTCTGGGGGAGTGGATTTTGTCCCAAGCAGCCCACCCCCCTGCCTTAATCTCGACGACTCCGTGACCCATTTTTGTTGATACGAAACTTGGTAGAAGAAAGACATCCATTTTTAGTTTAAAAGAGAGGGCTTGTGGGAACACCGTGTGGATGGAAGAGGTATGGTTTTGATGAGAACCAGCGAGCGTGATTCGGCACGTCGTCAAGTTCTGCTGCTTCAAACTCACCGGTTCTTATCAAAACCGTACCTCTTCCAGAAGAGATCTGTCCACGAATTGTTCCCGCAAGCCCTCTCTTTGGTCTATCTTCACCATGCAAAGCTTCAAGTCGTATCGATTGTGAGTGTTTCTAGAGAGTTTGAATTCATTCCAACAAAGAAGTTTTGTTGTTACATTCTTGCTTTCAAATACGTCATTGAGCGCATCACTGCTAAAAGTTAACAGCCAACTCTAATTGTCTTCAAATTGGCATCAAAACGATTGCAAGAATAATACCATACATGTAGGTTGGGTCAGTTCACTGACAAAAATAAATTCATTGAAAAAATAGTGAAGGTAAATGGAACACTTTCCAACATTGTAAATTTTCATTTCAGAAAAAACTTATATCAAAGCCTGTTGAGCTTACAAAACAGTGGTGGGGGGAGATGCTTCAAAGGGAATCCAGAAGTTAATGGTTGCCATGTTTTCCTTGCTTGTTTACCCTACGCAGAAGAACAAACAGAAGGAGATCTTCAAGCCGAAATTCAAAGGGGTCTTCTCAGACCAGAAGATATGCGAGGACTGCCCACACAGGTAGATATTGTAGCATGTAGGATGAAATTAACACATAATCTAAACAATTAAGACATACTTGACAACTGGTAATATTGAGTATTGATATTTTTCAACTCTGACGAACATGGGCAAACCCAGTGCTTGTTGAAGTTACCAACAGTGCCCTCTTTTACCGGGAAGCAAAATGTGTTTGACTTGTTTAGGCAATGTGTTTCATCATATTTGAAATAAAAAGCCTGGCAGTACCTTTAAATTTGACGTAAATTTTTGTCTGAACAGGAATTATGTAATTTTAAAATTACTTCTCAGACTGAAAACTATCAGTGCACTTGACAAATCACTTTTGCAAAAATTTTGGGGGGATTAATGAGATATATTGACTTTGCATAGTTTTGCAAGTAAATTGTTGCTGTAATCAAACCGTGCACATTCCATGTACTCAAAGGAGAGTTGACCCGGGATCAGACGACAAACAAATTCTAGCCAATAAGAGGTCAAGGAAATTACATCATGCCTCTTAGAATGTAAAGTGCGCCAACATCCTGTGACAGGGTAGTGATTCCAGCCCTAGTTACACTTGCCCTGCAAATTTGATATTGCATGAAGTATTCAGTACGGGACAGTGCTAGGGTTAAGTATTTGTTCATCGTCTGAATTTGAAGCGCTCTTCACAAAAATCTCTCTCCTTTGTTCAGGTACGAGAGAGAGGAGGAGTTCTTTGCTCTGAATTTAACTGTCAAGAGTCACAGCCTGGAGTCCTCGCTAGACCAGTTTGTCCGAGGCGAGCTGCTCGACGGAGACAACGCTTACTTCTGTGAAAAGTGCAATGAAAAGGTGAAGATTTGTGATTCAAGATCCCCAGAAATGTTACATGAGAGGATGCGATTATAATTACCTCCTAGTCTTGATTTAAAGCTTTTTTCTAATAACGAAAAACAAAAACCAAGGCTTCCTCCAAAGTACTTAGACCTGGAGAAATGTAATGAAAGAAGCCAACAAGACTTTCAGTTTGTAGAATAACAAACAGGCTTAGTGTTATATGAAGAAAGAAGTGTGTTGGTGGAGATTGAATGTTTTTGTAGATTTTTTTCAAAAACCAGTAAATTTCCATCATTAGGAATGAATTTGAATAGTTATATTTTTGTTGATGCCATCATTGAGTATACTGATGAAAAGGTTCTTCTAGTGTTACCCTTTCATCAGAATGTGCACAAATTAGGAAGTCTTTTTACTTAAGAGGAACATGCCGACCTGTTGAAATTTGGCTCATGGCTGCACTGGTGCTCAATTGGCTTTTTGTAGCAGCTGTGGCTAGAGATAACACATACACCTATGGAGGCCACTGGCCAGCGGCTGCAGCTCAACTTGAGTGCTGCTGCCAGCCGTAGCCGGCCAGTATGGACACAGTCTTTACTGCTTAGCCGTGCTGTGGCTCATTGACATGTCTGGTTCCTCGTCTTCACACCACAGAGGAATACCATCAAGAGAATGTGCATTAAGACACTGCCCCCGGTGCTGGTCATCCAACTCAAGAGATTCGACTATGACTGGGAGGCTGGGAGGGCCCTGAAATTTGACGACTACTTCAAGGTAAGACGGTTTATCAGCTGAAGAAGATCCCTGCATCAGACAGAGTTCAAACACATGAAACAGTGGCAGCATTGGCAATGCTGATCTCCACGTAAATAAATTGGAATAGGCCCTTGGCTGTTGTAGAAGTTAAATAGCCAGTGTAAATTTTGACCGATTTGCATTTTTCCCATAGTTTCCCTGGGTATTGGACATGGAGCCATACACCGTCAAGGGCATGGCCAGGCGGGAGAGTCCGCAATCAGATGAGGCATCTTCGGGAGAGATGCCGGACAACAGCCAGCCGCATACGATGGAAGACCTGTACCATCTGGTGGGAGTGATCGTCCACAGCGGGCAGGCCAATGCGGGACATTACTATTCCTTCATTAAAGACCGGTGGTATGTTCAACATTACAAGCAGCCAAGTCAAACGCATCCCACCAACGTGGCTCTTTTTTAACCCATGAGGGGGTGCTTCTGCTCAAGGCGAATGACCATAGGCTTGTTGTAGAAGGGGAGGAAAAACGAATATGAGTTCAAGAGGTTGGGATCCTGAGAATTTGTGCTTTATCTGGGCCAACTTAAAGGGGCTGCTCACGGGTAAGGAAGGGACAGGTTGGTGAAAATAATCTCATCAGGGCACTGGAGGCTCACACAGAGACTCTGAATTCCTTGGAACATAAATCAGTGGTACATGGCCAGCTCGTCCTGCACCAAATGTGTAATAAATCTGAATGCTTTCACTTTGAGTTCCAACCCAACGGCCATCGTGGCTGGGCAGAAGCACGCCGTTTCTTGTTTCTGCGCAGAGTAGATAATAGTTCGTTACAACGGTGCTCCTTACGTTGAGAATCGACCTTGTCTTTCTGTTTTCGCTGTCCCCCTGAGATGACATCACTGCTGGTCTGCAGAAGGTGTTTTGTTCCCTGATGCTGTCTTCCGATATCAGACCAACCGTGACAAAGGTTTTCCTCTCGGATTTTTTTGACTCCTGTCAGGGGCACGACCATGACCAACAGCAACAAGGGGAAGTGGTTCAAGTTTAACGACACCATGGTGGACGAGTTTGAGATGTCGGACGCTGCGCTGGAGGCCGAGTGCTTCGGCGGCAGCTACAAGCCCAAGATCTATGAGCCCAGCGGCAGTGAGTGGCCAGAAGTGCCTCGTGGGGGGGGGGTTATTTGTTGTTAGAGTACCCTCTCTTTTCCAGAATGAGAAAGGTTCATTATTATAATGTCTCGTCTTGGCATAAAAAAATTCAACATTTACTCTGTGTGACTCTGTTACATACAGCCAACATGGCTATAATTCATCATATCTCATCCACAGCTCTGACAATTTAATCTTGCAACTTCATATTCTTGTCAGTACATATGATGCTTCAACTATTCCAATTTTTGTTTTCAGTAAGGTAGGTTGAATTTGGCAACTTTGTCAAATGTCCAAACTCCAAAGTTATGCAGATTTAAAACCTTTCCTTGGTTACTGATGCTGACCCATGAACTGCAAGTAGAATTTTTTCAGGGAGATGGATGGGGGAGGGTTAAACCTTATCATGAATTGTTCACCATAGGAGCTTCAGTCTTCAGTAGACAGGTCCACTGATGATAGTCTGCGTCTCCTCTGTCCTAGGCTCTTACTCGTCTGAGACCAGACTGCGTTACTGGAACGGTTACATGCTGTTCTACGAACGACTGGAAGGAGCGGTCACGCCCGTGGGACCGGCCGGTAAGGTCCTGGCCGGCACCAACCGAGTGACGTTGCTCAAGCAGGATAGCGAGGGCGAGATTCACGTGTGAGTTGCCACGTCCAGAGCAAGTCATTTTTGTAAAAGAATACATCATCCCTACACAATTTGTTCACCACTTGGGGCTGAAACCATTGTAGCTTTCCATTTTCTGCTGTCAAAACCAATGACACCATTTGGTTTGTACACCCGAACTCAACATTCGGGTAGGCTATGAAGGCAAATTATGCGTTAAATGTACAGGGCCTTGTTTTGTCATTGAAAATGTCACTCCGTAGCAGCACCCTGGAGGGTCGTAAAAGATTTGGTTGCGGGGAGAAGTAAGATACAAATATTGTAAAAGATTGCTCTCAAGAGTTGGTATGTATAGTACTTGGCTGTGCTTGAAAGTTTGCCCAGGTATCTTGCCCATTTTTAAAAAGCGTTCCTTTTTATCGAAAATCTATGCCATCCGCAAGTTGTTAGGGGAGCAACCTGCAACTTCAGGCGAGGCTGCACTACTTAACAGCCAGGCGATGCCTGGGCCTCCAGGTCTGGAATCTCCCCTTCGTTAGTCAAGAACTACTTTACAATGGCGGAGTTAGCAAACAGTGAAGCCAGGGGTGTGTTCAGTAGTGCAATACGTACTGTTGTATTGGAATACCCTGTGTATTTTTATTGTGTTATTGCGTTATTGAATGCCATCCACTCCTCAAGAAGTGCCTGGTCAGGTTAAAAGTCCTGCCCATCGCATGAGTCTGTGGCTACTGTTCAGTTCCATTCAGTGTGTGGGCAGCTTGCATCAAAGCCGACAGGGGCTGGCAAACGAAGCAGAGGGAGCAGTGGCCCCGGGACAGAGCAGAGGCTGGTAGTGGACAGCCCGCAGTTTATTAAAGGCAAGGGATTAGCATGGCCTGGCTTTCAGTTGGCAAAGCCTAGCCACCGGTTCCTGTTTTCTCCCTGCTGCTATACTCATTTTGCCGTCTTCCTCCCAGCTTGGATCCCATCAGCTCCCCCGAGCTGTCCCCGCGCCATGACGGGGACCGACTGAGCGAGCTCACGGCGCTGGTGCGCAAGGGGGAGCACCGAGGGATGTTCATGGACCGCATGCCGCCGGGCATCCAGCGTGTCATCCGTGATGATAACCTCCAGTTCCTTCGCAACCGCGCCATCTACGACATGGACTACTTCAACTTTGTGCGGAACCTTGCCTCATGCAACATGGTAACTTTTAAAAAAAATTAAGTCCTTAAATTACGTGCTGAACACCCCTCAAATTCTGGACCCTTTAAAAGCTTTCCTGTGATAGTTTTCTTTACACAACTCTGTTCTCTTCAGAAAATTAGACCCTTACATTTGAGAGTAAAGAACTTTACAATTGACGAAACACTTCACTTTCCAGGCTTTCACGCTGAGCAGCCATTACGACTCCTGTGCCGTCACTAGCCTCCAACTAGCCTTCCAGTTCCTCTTCAACAACTACTTCCGAACCAAAAAGAAGCTCAGGTGAGGCTCCGAGAGCTCTGAAGGCACATTCTCAAAGCTTCTAAGCTGTCACACCTTAACCGCAAGCCTGCTCAATTTTATTTAACTTGGATAAACACTTGTGACTGAACTGTCACAATATGGTCGGAAAACTTTGACCATCAGCAACGTGTTCTGTCAAAACAAGGCACTTCTGTTCACTTCAGCAATGAAGATACACTGTATAACCTCAGAACATCTTTTTTTTTCGGATTTGCAAATTTGTGTTGTTAAATATGTCCCAACACACTGTAAAAGTTTTTGGCGATAGTTTCGTCTCTAAGGGCTTGATTTCTCGTTCTATATCTGACCAGCTTTCCAGAATTGTCATGTTCTGACAGAGCGTGTCGCTTGTCTCCATGGTGCAGAGTCCAATTTTTCGTACAATTTCTAACCACTAGTTTCTAGCAAAGAAATTTTGAGCAATCTGGCTTGCAATTGGTCGTCAACTATTGTTGTCAACAAAGAAAATGTGTTTCCGTATACAGCACTAAAATTTAAAGGAAGAGAATTCTTGCGGAAATGAAGCCTAGAGATCTAGACTCCTCCTGCGTTTTGGTTATGATGTATTTTTTAGTGTCATTTGTGGTTGGGGTTGCAGGTGCGATGTCAATGACTGGTGCAACTGCGTAGACCAGCTTGTTGCCAACAGCAGAGAGGGGTCCTCGTGGGCTCTGACCTTCATGGCCAGCCCTCAAGGGCATACTTACATCAAGTGAGTAAAACAAAAATCGACAGTTGAAGAACTGAGACTTGAGTAGGTGATCTTGACACGGACTCAGCACCTCAGACTTGAGTGTGACGTGCTAGATGAGTTGGTTTGAACCTGAGTCTAATCAGACTCAAGCCTTGTGAGTCACATTCCGTAGGCAGATCATCTTGATCAATCAGACTTGTATCTCATTTGAGCATTGAGAAGAATTACTGCAAAGTGTCCTGCTTAGGAACACAAGAACACGGGGAGTTGGTTAAGTACAGAGTGGTTTGCTCGGGCTTAATGTCTGTAACTCACTGTGAAAGTCATCCATAGTCATCATATTTGTATCACGTTTTTGCATTGAGCAAACTTAGGACGTTGTTCCACGTTTGAACCCCTTAGCAAAAGGAATAGGATTGATCCAACCGGTCCTCATGGTACAACGGTGGGAGTCGAACCTCATCCACCAGAGGAGAAGTTGAGCTTTACAATGCCAACATAATCAATGAGTGTACACCGACAGAGGACAAGTTCGATCAAGGACAATAGTTAACCATAGTTCGACTAGCTCACGTTAGTCACGTTAGTCGACGATAGTTGGACTAGTCTAGTCAGCTATTCATGACCAGCCTAGTGAGTTTGGTTGCATTGTTGGTTGCCATAAACCATTTTGAATAGCACAGTGCAGAGAGGACCAGTTATAAGACAACTGCTGGAAAAACAGTATGTCCCTAGTAAATGACCGATTTTACTTTTATTTTTTGCTATTTTACCCTCGTGCAGCCATCTTTTTTTCCTTTCAGTCCAACGACCTGACAATTGTTGACTAGGGTCATTCGCACTTCAACTTCACTGCATATGTACGAGATATGTCAGGAACCAACCACTAGTTAACTAGTGGTTTTGATGGAACTTGCCCATAATAGATGTTGGATACTCAATAAAAATGTCAGCATTGTAGTCAAGTCCGCCATAAGTCTTTTCGTAACTCTAAACCTTTAGCGAGGAGTGCAGTGGTGCAGTCCATTTGAAAAGTTTGTGACTTGACTCAAGACTAGATCAGTTAAGATGGACTTGCAGGGACTTGTGATGGACTTGACTACATTACTGCCAAATGTAGGACTTTTAAGGTATTTTATGGGAAGATTTTTTTTTTTTTGGGTCATTTTCAGGCAATTTCTGCTTGAGAGCCCAACCCGCGAGGTGCGCATAGCCTTCGCCCGCATCATGCAGTACGTCCTCCAGGGCTTTGTCCACTGCAACCGGGCCGCCGTGTCCGGCTCCCCACCTCTCAACAGCCTGGTGGAGTACCTGCTCTCGCTGCTGGACAAGGAGGTGCCCGACCACTGCAAGACGTGCCAACAGTATTTCTGGTTGCTCAGCTCCTACCTTGACACTGTGAGTGACATTAAAATTTCAGAGGGCCAAATGGGACGCTCATATTGCTGATTTTTTTCCTGATATTTTGTTGTTATCATGACACCAGTTCTATGAAAATCAGGCATACCATTCCCAGGAAATATCTTAAGCAAGACGTGATGGCCAAAATCTGTTGTTTTTTCTCAGAGACATGTGCTCAATGAGCACACACGGACACACGAGAGCCTTGAGCATAGGTAGTCAAAGAACAAACTTTTATGTCGGATTGAATACGGGCGATTCACAGTACAGTGCGATGCAAAGTGGTTGCTGCAGGCCATTTATCAAGTCTAAGGTTGATGCAATTTATATTTGAGCAGTTGTCCGTAGACAACTCTAGAAAACTTGTAATCCTTTGCAATGTTTTGCAATGCTTTGACACAATCACAATATGCGAAATCTGTCGACCTAATGCGCGTTTGGAAAGGGTCGACAGATTTCACACACTGTGATTGGTCAATGCGTTGCAAACTCTTGGAGGCGCACTACTGTGAATGGACCGTATCAATGAGAGCATTTCTTGCCTCGCTCAAAAATAAATTCAGTCTTGATAATGAACGCAGATACTCAAAAACACTTTCAAATCTTCACCCCAGATAAAACAAAAACTGAGAACAAAGCAAGTTCCCTGCGCACGGCGTAGCTGACAAATAAGACTGTGTCAACCATTTCCCCATAATGCACTGCCACAAAAACCTCTCCCTGGCAACCTCTTGGTGGCGCACTGCATTGTACATTGTATTGAAACTTCACAAATGCAATCATAGTGGATGTCTTCACATGCATGCCAAGTTTCAGAAAGACTTGCCTTGGCACAGCCTCACTCTTGGGGAAAAACAAGCAGTCCCTCCTGCCCCCAGCAGAGTAAATTCCAAAAAACGAGGATCTTTTAGGGTGAATTACTAGCTAGCAGGGGCAAAGTTTAAAGCAAGTCAGCACTGGGAACGACTGATACCTCCAGTCCAACTCGCACCAACAGTTCTGAAAATCAGAAATTCACTACCTACCTTGTCTGTGTCTTGTATATTTCCAGCATATCGAGTGCTGCAAGCAGCTTTTCAGCAAATCCGCTTTTCGCCGGATCGTGACGTTCCTCCTTGGCCCCCACACGCCTGAGAACGAAGAGGTTTGTAATGCAAAGTGGACCCTGGGTCACTCACTTTTGCACCCGCGCTCATGCCGAAAACCCTTTTGAAAGCGTAGCCGTGGAAAGCATGCAACACACAACATTGATAAATTGGCCTGTGACATTGACAATTTTCCTATGATGGTCGTAAAGTTGCAGCCATTACTCGAATGCCCAAAAAAGCCCGTTCCAACTGTAGATCTACATGCCAGCCAACGCCTGCCGTTGGTCATCTCCAGAACACAGCACCTGCTGTGTCTTTTTCTGCAGCATGGATCATATGAGTTTCAAAGCCAATTTACAAGTTTCATTTTTCCTGGGCAGGATGTTCAGACGCGGCGTTGGACCTCACTGCAGACCCACGAGTTCACGTACCTCCACACCATGCTGGCGGTCATGGTGCTGTACTGCGACGTCTCCAAGTTCAGAACGATCGGTGAGTCGGATTAATGTTAATTGCTATGCACATGCACTGCAGAGGGCAGTGTTCTGCATGTTCGCAGGGGTACTTAGTCTACCTGAATTAAGACTCGTCAATTCTCTTCGGCTTCGTACTCTGCTACAGGAACAACACCAACTTGTTTAATTTTAGAACAGGTTTTGGGTATTTTGTATGTGATTCCAATACGGGTTCTGCATGGTCGCCATTTTTCCGGCAAGATCTTTTATTCCACAGGGTACAATACACATGAGTAGACCCTTTGTGCTATCCTGCCGTAACAAAAGCAGTTACTGGAAAGATGGCTGTCTTGCACAACCTCTAGAGTATTTCCTTTCATTTCCAATGGATTTTTTTGGAATCAATGGTTGGGATTTGTGAGACCCGATCAAAGGGTTGGGGGTTCAAATCCGGGAGCTGGTGGTGTGTTGTGACCTTGGGCAAGTTTCTCACATGGGGGATTGTGGCTTAGTGACAAAGGGTCTGTAAGGTGTGACCAGAGGGTCAAGGGTTCACATTCGTCTGCTGATCATACGTTGTGACCTTGGACAAATCGCTTCACCCCCTGTTTGCCTCTCTCTCCACCCAGGAGTTTAAAAGGGTACCAACGATAACTGGAAACAACCTGTGATGGACCGGCATCTCATCCAGGCGGACTGATAGAAATGTTGACCATCATTTCACACTAATAATACCAAAATTATCCTTGGAATTTATGTTTGGAGCAGATCAAGGTGATTTTCCGCCCAGGCAACGGACGTTGATAATCCCCACCAGCAAACCGCTAGCCATGCCCAGCGACATGCAGCAGATCCTGGCTGGCACCGAGGGCATCAAGTACATCCGAGAGGTCAGCCTAAGTCACCGTGTCGACTTTGATTCAGTTCACCTGAGTCCTTTTTTTTTGTGCTGTGCCAAACCTTGGATCCGAGCCTTTAAAATTGTTGAAGCCATGCAATGGAGCTTCATCACTCTCGTTACAGTCATGCCTACGTGGTGTGGAAAATCTGGGTGGTTATGTATTCACATTGCATGGCTGTTTTACCCAAAACATTATAAGCAATAAGCATTTCACATCCACATTACAAGTTTTTGGGAGCCGTACAAGTATCCTTAACCATTTCCGCCTAAACCGTCTTTACTCGAACCATTTTGTAGTAGACCCTACTTTTGTTGTCCTTGCTGATGTAAACCTTGAGTACTTTTACCAATTAAAGGCTCTGGGATTTTTCTGCATGACATAAAATTCTCATACTCCTCCCCCCCACAGGTCATATTGATGTTCCGCGAGGTACCCGCTGCAACCACAGCGCTCCTGGACATGCTGCTGCATTGCTGCTACTGCAACGAAACCTTCACGCTGTCCGTCATGATGATGATCCACGTGAGTAGACGCTGTTCCCAGTACAACACGGTTTGCTTTGGTTCTTTGGACCCGCGGACGGAAGTGGTCCACATAATGGGTCCAACAATGAATGTCTGTATGTCCTTCAATTAAAATGTAGCGCCACATCATGACCCAAAAGCAAGGTCATTCGGGAACAAAGTACTCCTGCCAGACTGCGTAGGGCCGCGCTGATAGGACAGACCTCGGTCGTGCATCTGAACGGCCTCTTACGCGCTCCCTTTCGGGCATGCACTGTTGGAATACGGAACCAGCTCATCAGAAATGCATTGGTTGTGCCATTTAAATTGGTGTGCCTTATTCAAAATGTATTTTTTACTAAAAAAATTTAAATCAAAACATGCGCCCCTGAGAAAAATCAGCAAAGCCTTCGCATCCTTGTTTTCCCCTTTGCATAATGAACAGTGTTTGCCCAAATCTATCTGAATAAAAAAGCAGAATGATCCTCCAGAGACTCCCTCGGAATGATAACAGGATTAATCTTGGGGAGGGGAAACGTTTCTGTCAAGATTCCCTCTTAAACCAAGTCTTTTTTGCGAAACCTGTGAATTTCCAATATGTGCCACTTCATTTTAGGTGATTTAGTTACAGAGAGTTTGATTTTACAGAGGCACAGATTACGTAACTGTGGTTGGTGCGGACAGATTTGCTAAGCAAATACAGATCACTGGTTTAAATGGGTTACCAGTTTTAAAACAACATAAAGTCACTTGTGTTGTATTTGACTTCTGTGAGGGGTACTTTGTCAAATATGTGGCTAAGGGAAAGATGACAAATCCTGCATGAGTTGCTAGGCTGGTTACATTCAAATGACTAGTCTTTGCCTCATTTCTGATTGGTCAATGCAGGGTCAGGTGTCTGCGGCGCCCACCAATGAGCTGAAGCACATCTTGATCCTCTTGCTGGAGCTGTTGATGATGGAGGACCCCCTGCAGGGCAAACGCCTCAAGCTGGCCGTGGAGGGCCACAGCAACAACGGCCTCTTGGGTAAGGCAACGGCGGTCGCGCTCGACTTCTTTAATCATGCCTCCAAGGTTCACTGTACAAAGCAGTCTGGTTTCCATAAACGAGCCCTACCACTGTGGTGAGAAGGAGCAAAGGGCCAGACCCAGGCAGATTGTATTTGTCGCTTCTAGGTGGCAAAGCGGCCCCCCTCACTCCTTCAGCATTTTGGTCACGTTCTCATGTGGGAAATTTTGTCCTGAAAACTTTGTTTTCACCGCACTGTGATAGCTTAAGTCTGGTGCCGAATTGTGGCTTTGCAAGGTGAAAAAGACAAGCTTGCATTGATGACTCTTGCTTGTAAGTTGACAATTTGGGCAAAAGGAAAAAATTTCTGAGACAACTGGGTTTTTTTTTTCAGTCGTAACAAAGTCCTCAATAACCCCCCCCAAAAATAAAGGTTGTAATACCCACGGACGTGTATAATAAAATCTGGACTCCCAATGCCCTTAATCAGCTTATAGAGTCGTTGAATCCACTCGCAGCCATTTTACCGAGCAGAATACAAAGCTTTCCTGGTAATGCCCGCCTTTGTTCTTCCTGACGTCAATAGTAGGGAGCCAACCCACGCCTTTGTATTCGGCTCGGTAAAATGGCCGCTGGTTGGCTTCTTTTTCATACAAAGGCGTTGCAAGTCCAGGTTTTTTTTATATACGTCCGTGGTAATACCTTTTTGAAAATGCTACTCTGTTTAATTCCTTAATAAAAAAAAAAAAATTGTAACATGGCCCCATGGGGGCAACATAACCCCTTTCCCCCTGGATTTGCCACTGTCGTGGTGGTGGTGGTGATGGTGGTGGGGCTGTTCCTGGTCAGAGCAGATGCTGGAAAGCATTTTGGCCCAGTAGGTTGCATTCACACTGACATATCCTGATTCTCGTCGCCAACCTACAGAGATCATCCGTAAGTGCACGTCCACCGACAGCCGTCGGTCCTACCAGTGCATTAAGTTCCTGGTCCACCTGTCCAACAAGTGTCCAATGGCCAAGGAATATCTGATGACCATCTCCGTCCGCTGGCAGTGGGCAGTCAACTGGCTCAAGAAGAAGGTAAAGCCCCTGTCCACGTCTAGTTTTCTGAAAGCTTTCACTCTTTCCGTTCTCTCTGTTTTTTCGTGATAAAAAAAATTCCCCTGCCCTCCATTAAAAAAGGGTGATATTTTTTTCTTGAGGCGTCAAACTATCAAGCATCTCTTTCTGGCAGATTTAAAACATGGACATGGATAAGATTCTATCATTCATATTACAACATCCTCACAAGGTTCTACCATTCTTACTTTTAACATCGCGAAAATATCTCTCTACTTTCTTCGAAACATCTTCAACTTACGAAATGTGGTGTTTTGGGGCATTACTGAACAGAACAGATCTCTCCAGATTAATTACAATTATTTTCACCACCACAAGAAATATACAAGAAATGAGCACAACAGAGTACTAAATTATGCATACAGTTTAAATATGGAATAATTAAATAGCCATTAAGTAGAAAATTTACATATATGAATAATACACCACTCCATGCTATGCTTGATAATCAATATTCATGTACAGTGTACATGTATTTGCACAAGTTTATGGTAATCCAGCTTTCAATAGCCAAGATCTCTTTGTTGTCTCATGTGCTCTCACCATTTCAATTCGAACTCAAAATGGTCCGGTTCAAGGGTCAAACCCTTAAAGCACAGGAAGAAAAGAACAAGCAAGTGCTTTTACACGGAGTTACTGGCTTCTCCCGTGCAGATGAGCGAGCACTACTGGACACCACAGAACGTCTCCAACGAGTCCAGCACGGGCCGGTCCTTCCAACGCACCATGAGCGCCCAGGACACGCTGGCCGAAGCCACCGCCCTCCTGGACGAGCTCAACACGCGGGACGACGAGGAGGCGGAAGAGGAGGAGGAGTTCGTCGAGGGCGACTCCAACACCAAGATGGAGGTCAACGGGTCGTCGGAGGGGTCGGAGGTCAACGGAAACGAAGACAGTTCTGAGTCCTCTAAGACCCTGGTTCAGGACGATGTGGGTGATCTGGATGATATCGATACATAGCAGTTGTCCATTGAAGAATGAGGAGACAGAAGGTTGTCACAGAGGCCAGCACAGCGGTCAGAGGTCATCACAAGGATTAGAGGTCATCACAGAGGTCATTTCAGAAGAAACCAGGCCACTTCCAAGTTTTTAAGGCATCTTTGATCGATGTAGTACATTGCAAAAGCATCGCTGGCATTAAGCCTAGCACTGAAGAGGTCCAAGGTCGACGCCTCCAAGGCTGTGATTGTGATGAAGAATTTAGCCAGACTTGGAGTTACTCAAGATGTGTAACAAAGTGTTGAGAGCACCCTCTGCCGCCAACATGGCATTTTCACAGTGAACCGGTAATTATCGCCATCCAAACAGACAGCCCCAGAGATGCGATTGCAGTACTGGGTAAGCCAAGGGTAAGCACATCAGTTTTATTCAGATGAAGTACTGTACCTTAACCACAGTCAGAAAGCCTGTCACCGGTACCCAGCAGAATTAATCTCTCCATTAACCAGAAAGCGCACTTTGTGTGTTGCCCGGACATTTCTTTTTTTTTCTAGCCAGTTTGGACGCGGAAGTGGACTTTATTTTTATTCAAATGTAGGTTGTAGTGTGTAGAAGCAATAATTGTATGAGGACTGACAGAATACCGTACAGTTGTACATCCATATTTTACTGTTAAGAGAGAACGTCACAGAACAATAAACTTTAATTAATTTTAAATGATCACCGTGTTCAAGGGTTGGGTTTTGATATTTTCAAATTTGTAATTACTCTCAATGTGATTTTTCCTGTCCACCTTCAGTTTTGAAATGTGTGCCCAATGCCTTTGATCCGATTTCATTTCACTCTTTTTTTCTACTTGTCTCATAAAAATGTCAACAAAAATGACAGTACGTAATTCAAGGCAGGGATCTGAAAATGCGATGCCTTTGCACAGAAATACCGGTAAAGCTTGCACTTCAGATATTGTCCAAGGTGTAGGGGATAAGATGACTCCTCGATGAACATCTAACGTCTCTTGTGATTGGACGAAAACCACAAGGAAGAAAATCTGCAGAAGTGTCATCTGTAAATACTAAACTGTGAATGAAAATGCAACAAAACGGGTTGGTATTTTAGATTCTTCACAAAGCTGGAATACTTTGAGAAAAAAAAAAGATAAACTTGTCAACATAGACACTGCCAATGTTGTAGTCAAGCACTTGTCGAGTACCAAAGTTTTCTGCCAAATATTGAACTGGGTAAGAGGGAATGAAGCTGGAGTACATTAATATTTGATGGTAAATATGCAAAGGTAAGATTACAAACTAGACATAAGACTTAAGACACTCCCAGTGTTGTAAAATTTAAGTTTTAAAGAGAAAAGTACTCAGAAAGAGCTTGGCCGAGTACTTTTCGAGTACTTTTGTCCTAAAAGCTTAGTTTTTATTAAACTGTGATAATCTGAAATCATCATTTTACTTTGTAATCTTACCTGTGTGCATGTACCATCAAATATATCCATGTACTTTAGCTTTGGTCCCTCCTATAAACTAGTTAAATATTTGGCAGAAAACTTGGTACTGGAAAAGTACTCAACACTGCCACAGTCTAAAAAATTGACAACTTGAGAAAAATATTAATGTACATTTCTACATTTGGACAAGTCTAGTTTATTACGACAAAACATCTAGTTTCTGTACTGAAATAAGATACGTGTACAACGATTTGAACATATAGGACTGCTTTCAACTAGAGGTGTTATTGTATTGATTTTATCAACCTTTGACATTGGTGTTCCATGAGAACCAATCAGATGACAGAGAATTATATGAATAATTCATTATATACAAAAGCACCCAATCTCTTAGGACTAGCTGGTACCCTTTCATCCAGTAGCTGCTGGTTTTACCATTGCAATATTTAATTATGCAGGTTCATCAGCTTCCATGTACATGTACAGTAGATTGGAGATTGTGTAGATAACATGTACCGAGGGAGACGTTATTTTAATATATTGAAAAATGCAGATTTTTTTTCCAGTAGTGTGACATCAGTTTCATGTTGATTTTTCATTTTGTCTGGAAAGCTCAAATCGTGAACAATTAAAGTGTCCAGTATTTCCTTCAAGTTTCATGATGCATATGTTACTGTATATGTCACACTTACCATGTCCATGTAAATATATCATTCATAAAGCTTCAGATTATGACATTTCAAATGCTAGTATTTGATTTTAAAAATACATGTACACTCAAAGCCAAGAGATCACAGGTTATTTTACTTTCCCCCGTGTTGTGTCCAGGGCTCCTTTTTTGAAGATTATTATTAAAAAAAAAGAGAGATAACAGAGAGAGACAAAATTTGCTTTGCAAGTTGTCATTGCCAAATAAATTCAGCTGGGAACCAGCTGCAGGCAATACATATGACGCATTAGTTGGTGACCTGTTGTTTCCAAGCAACCCCCTCGAGCCTTTCAAATAGTGAAAATATTGGACTTTGTGAAAATGGTTTTCAAATTTGACATTTTGGTTTGTATCACGTCCATTTTTCTAAACCCAATCTTTATCATTTCGTATTTTAAAATTTGACGATTGAAGAACAAGAACAGGAAACCTTGGAAGAGGTTTATCACAGCTTTTGAAATCAAGCGAGTATGAAAATGTACACTGTGAATTTGTTTGGAGAGATGTCATCAAGTTATTTTGTTACCGGCACAGCTATAATAGACAAACATTCATCAAGATTTGCAGAGGCTGGGTGTCCTCAAGACCTTGGAGGTCATTTCTGCAAACTTGATTTCAGGCTAATCTTTTTTTTTTACTTAGTTTCTGTGAAGATCCGAGTACGGCCTGAACTGCACCGTTCAGTTTTCCAGCTGTTACAATTTTTTTTTCCAGGGAAGGTCTGCTCGACCTCTTAAATTTATTAAACAATATCTGTAACATTAATTATTCTGGGCATGTACATAAGTTTTGTACTTTTGATCAAACTCTAATCTGTTTTTTGTTTATGTGGAGAGGTGGTTTTTTTGTGTTTTTATATGCCCAATTTTGAAGGAGTCTGAATTTTCAAATTTTATTGAGGTTGTCGAATATGGTGCTTGTAGCATAACTTGTAAAGTTCCATTTTTTTTGTTCATACAATTTTTTTGTTCAATCAGCTTGCTTATTTAAACTTATGCATGTTCGGAAGGTTTTAATGGTTCTCGTTATATCAATAAAGTTTTGAGCTTCTCTGTTGATCCTTACATGAAAAAAACTTTATGCTGTGGAAGCTTTGGTTGTTTTAGTGAAAACATTACTTGTGTTTCTGTACTCGGTGAAATGATCTCTCAAAAGCAGAGTTCTTTTATACCAGACTTACCCTTTTAAATGTTGTGTCCCTGTGTTTATGGAAAATTTGCGTGCCAAGTTCCCCTTAAAACAAAATTGATATTAATGGTTTTTTCTCCTGTAAACTAGAGAAATATTTTTACACAGTACACAGGAAAAAGTTTGCCTTACTCCAAACTACTGTATGCACATAGGCGGAATTTCTTTTTAAGAATACAGAAACAATGGAATTGTAATAATTTGTGGTGTGAAAAGAAATGTAGTTTAATGATAAAGAAATATGCATAAATTTGCATACATTTGTAAATATACCTTAGTACTGTTTGGTACAATGCAAGACATGGTTTCACTCGGATTACGAATAGATTTAGCGACCTGTTTTGTCCATAGTAAGAAAATACATGTATATGAGTGTTGGTTCCAATCCGGATTGAACCGGTTCAAGGCAGATTCAACCGGTTCAAACTGGCTGTAGTTGAAGAATGTGCATATGGTTTAGTTTCATGGGAAGGTTTCTTATGAGGTAACACTAAAGGCTCATGTTAGTCATTCTTGTACATGTGTATATGTATATTTTAATTATTGATCCAAAAAATGCCTAATACATTTCCAATTTTGTTCAATCGCTTCACAGAATCTAAACTTGCACATTTGCCAAATGAAAAACAGAGTTCCTGAAACCCTTCGTATGCACAACTTGAAATGCATGTATCCATGCTGTGATAAAATAATGCAAAAGACATACTTCGCGAGTTCACACCCATCCAATTGCACTGGATTATTGAACAACAAAAGACCCACAATTGAATGTCACGAAACAGGTGTAACAATGGAAATACAGTCCTTGATACCCTCATTTCCTGTCTGCAGACGTGTTCAAAAAGAAGGTGAACTGTATCGGGCTACCATACAAACAAAAATGACTCTTTTCATTTCTTTTGAGGGGAATGCCGCGTCGTATGGTGAAGCCAGAGGGAAACCGTTGATTTGTTCATTATCTGGGCAATCCTTTCTTCCAGGCCACAATTATTTGTCTACATTGCAAGGAATGTTTTGTCTTGTATCTTGGTACTCGAGGTTGTGGTTAGCACAACGCTACTTCTGGTCATTTGTCACCATAGCGGCAGTTAACATGTGATAACGATTGGAAGAATTGTGAGAAATGGAAACTATGAACTTCACGATATATGTACAGACACGTGCAAGTTTCGAATAAAGTTTAACACTTTGGTCATTTTTAACACTCTGTTGCATTTCTTCTGCCAAGCTTGGTTTTGTGATTTGGTTAGTACATGTACGTGAAGAATGTAATTGCTTCACTGTCAGAAAGTGATGTTCTTTTTTGAAGATAGATATACAAATATGACTTTTTCTTGGGTGTCTTCCATGCTTGTTCTGGTTTATTTTTCACTGCAATGGATTACTTGGATAAATTCCGCAAATAACATAATACACAGTAACACAGTAAACAAGCATGTTGAATTCAGATTGGAAAAAGCAGCTATTTTCCCATAACAAAAATACATTTAAAAAATTTCCAAATATTTCTTGAAATTCAACTGGTCAAGTGTACATTATGTCCACTCCTTGAGGACTAGATTCACTTCGTTGTAGGTTAACACTGGCCTAAAGAGTTCTGAGGGATTTGCTTTGAACTTTAGAGGTTCTTTCTTTACCACTCGTAATGGAAATTGAAGTGTGGAGTTCATCAAATTATCAATTTCCATTCAGGACAAGAGCGGCAACGTGCCTCATTGTTCTGATGTCTACCACTAAAAGTAAACAGCGCCCTCACTGAAGTTCCAAGTATCTTTTCTTCACAACACGTTTTCATACTTGAGGCTTAAACATAGCAATGCATTTTTGGGTACAACATGATGTCATTAACTACATTTGACGTGATTCAAAGTCACCGACATGGCTTCTGCCAAACTTGGCTACAATTTACCATCTGAGGCTTTTCGGTTCGTATAAGATAAACTTCACAACATTAAGAATATACAATAGAATATTGTATATTCTATTGCATAGAATATACAATAGAATAGAATATATTCTAATAGAGAATTAGAATATAGAATACTTATGTACATATCTCACATTTCAATTTCAGGAGGTAACAGGAACATGTACAAAATATAGGGAAAAAAATATAATGGCATCTGAATATCAGCTTTATCTTCAATAGCAGCACGCTGTTCAGGATACATGTACCTTGAGCATTCTGGGGGGGGTTGGAAAACTAAGAAATGATGCTGATATGCCCCATTGTTTAAGATAAGGATGAGGTCTTGAAGACAGCAAGGAATCGTACGTTAATTTTTATTGGTTTTGAGTAAATCTGTGTGGAAGAACACACCAACAATGCTAGCTTTTTTTTTTCCCCTGCACAAAGATGACAAGGGCAGAGACTTTGGCCTTTTGACTTTTCATTTCAGATTGTCAAACGTAACACAATTGTCACAATGCACTCTCCCACTCGTCTGGAATTCTGGAAGAGTCCCCTCAATATATATATACATAATTAGTTATCACACGAGTGTGAGTTTCAGCTGAGTGGTATACGGGACACAGAAGGCTACATTATTCTGTGTTCAACGAGCGCAAGCGTGATAACCAATTTATCTTCAAGCAAACTTGACACACAGTAAAGATGTTGTAGGGGCCTCTGCATGCAAATGCGCCACCTTTGCATTTAAAGTAAATTTTGCAGTTACACGTTTCGCTTTTAGCATAAAAATAGCACAATGCAACGAGTTAGAACAGCGCATTACGCCGGGTTTGTATGAAGCGTGCAATGGAGTTATATATCATACTGTTGGTTGCTATGGATCAACCAATCAGAATTCAAGTTCGCCTGAAGATAAATATAAAGTTACTTCACGCCAAACTGAGCACCTTTCCTTACAATATGTACTGGCTTGGAATAAAATCCATGAGTATCATATTACAGACACACGCATGAGTACAGTTCAGGGGTCAAATGCTGTAGACATGGCGGCGATGCAATTTGGTAGCAGAAAAAAAAATTTAAGAAACAAAAATTTTAATGGGCATGCCTAATTTACAGCCCTGCTTAACAACCGATGTTGCGCTAACAGAGCCTCCCATCTGCTTCACAGACCCCGTGAGCAATAAGCACAGCAAAAGCAAGATTAATTCCAACAGGAAGTTAATTAAATCAGTGACCTTGCAACACAAATCTCCATCCCCATGCAACTACATGTATCGGCATATTCGAGATAGTGCTTAACCAGAGCACGGTTTTCTGCTTAGTAAGCACATTTTTCATGCTAACTGTTTTAGCAGTGCTAAAAGAATTCTGGCCCTACATATCCTCCCCTTGAGGTACGCTGCCCACTTATTTCTGGAGACAAGCTGTCTGCAGGCTTCTATGCCGGTGATATTCACTAAGCACTCGATAGCTTAGCTGCTATGCTCATTGCTCAATGCTCGGGCTTCTAAATCTACTTGGGGGGGACAAAGGCTTGGAGTCCCGTGATGCTTCGTCCCAGGATCAGGGCATGGATGTCGTGTGTACCTGCAAAAAGAGAATCCGAGGGAAGACAAAAGTGAGAGTTTAACGACAGCTCTTTCCACACTTTTCACATTCACTTGTTCTCTTTACTCTAGATGTACAATACTCGCCATTTTGCAGCACAGTATTGATAAATCTCGAGGAAATATCTCCTTAATTGTTTGCGGTACCCGCTGCTACGTTCGATTCGAACCAGCCAGCCGACACTGGCAAGCTCAGTGGTCGAGTGGTTAAGACGTTTGCACTAGTAAGCAGGAGGTCGTGGGTTCGAGTCCCACCCGAGTACGCTTGGGGGTTTTTTCACAAGCTTTCAGGGGCACACTGAATATACAGTGTTAAATACACGTCGGGCAGGGCAAATCCAAAATGAAGAAATATCATCACTTGTGTAAATACCACACTCGTGCAAGATGTTGCAAGTATTCTTGAATCTTACTCATTTATCCAGTTTGGTAAGCTACAATATCCTCCATGCCGTCAAGGCAATTAACACGACTCTTTAACCTCAATGAAAGCGTGACTGCAGCTCACCAGGCCAGCACTGATCTCTGGTTTCCTTGGCATGGAATGACTGAGAATATGTCTATTCCTTTTTGAATGGGATGGCAGTCCATCATGTCCAAACCGAACCAGTGTCTCACCTTCGTATGTGTTGACGGCTTCCAGGTTCATGACATGTCGAATGACGTGATACTCGTCCGAGATGCCGTTACCGCCGAGCATGTCTCGTGCCATCCGGGCGATGTCCAGCGCCTTACCGCAGGAGTTGCGCTTGATCATGGAGATCATCTCCGGTGCAATCCTGGCCCAGATACAAAAAGTGGTTCATCGATCAGTCGGATCTGACTAACCACCTCCACCATGGCAAAAATGACAAGGTTCATTAATACTGCACGGCACCTTGATGGTACTCTCCCAGTGAGTGTATGTGACAAATTTGTGCACATTCAGTTGAAAACTCTAACCCAAGCCAAACATGCTTACTACTGCGGGCATTTGATCTAGGTGCCCATTCTACAGAGCACAGAAATCTGCTAAGTGCCAAAAAAGTCTGCTTGGCAAAAACAGGTTACTGATCAGAGTGCCATGGATAATACATCGCTGGAGTCTGGTTCCCCCCTTCATTGTTGTTGAGCACCAAGCAAATTCCGAAACAAGGTTTTTGTTTAACTGTGCTCAGTCATGACAATTTCCGGGTGGCACTGTATCTTTGGCCGACAGGCTGTCAAGTGTGGAGTTGAGGAGAGAGTTGGAGTGGAGGCGATCGACATCGGGTTAAGGGGGCATGGGCTGGGGTGGTTGGGTCAAGTGGAGAGAAAGGATTGTACCAACTGGGTCAAGAGGTGCGCAATGTACCAAAGTGTGGACCCATACTTGTTGGTCGACCCCACAAGACATGGCACAGCTCCAAGTCAGATGATAAACGATAAGAGTTGTAGATCTTCAGTCACAAGTCAGTCCACAAGTCAACTCACAAGTCATTTCACAAGTTAAGGCGGAACTAAAGGAATGCCATTCATTTAAAAAGCTTTTGAGTTGACTTCTGGCTGCATGACTAGTGACTGACTTGTGGTGACTTGCAGTGGCTTGTGACTGACTGGGTAGCAACTCTACATGTGATTGCATGAAATCAAAGCAAGGGATGCTGCAGACAGGGCCAGGTGAAGGAGAGCCATAGGGAGAAAGCAGGCCAACCCGGAACGGACTGGATATAATGGCTTGAAAACCGGAGATGATGCGGCTTACTTGTTTTCATCCTTGAGCCGTCCCACCTGCACGCAAGCCTGCAGGCCAATGGATATCTCGGTCAGCATGTCAGCCAGCTTCTTCTGGATAAGTTGGTTCTTGGCGAGCGGGGATCCGAACTGAATCCTGCGCAGAGCAAAGGAGCGAGTTTAAAGTTGGCTACGTTGGTAGCATCTTACTGTAACTCCGTAGTGACTGCAGTGTTTTTTGGAAGTGCAATGTTCGATGCCTGTAGAATTTCCTGAGTCCAAAGTTTGTGTCTTTATTCAAGTGGATATGTCAAAACATTAAACGTGCATACACAAAGTGGTACGTTTTGTGACAACGCCACAACTGCACTGTGACACTGGTCAATTATTAAATAACTGTAACATCTCAAAGTGAAACTTCAAGGAACGGACATCTCCTCCTATTGGCAATTGCCAAATTTTCCCAAAGCACAACAGATGTGTACCTGTCCAGTGTGTACTGCCTGGCAGTCTCCAAGCAGAACTCGGCTGCACCGAGGGCACCCCAGGCTATGCCGTACCTGGCATTATTCAGACATCCGAAGGGTCCCTGGAAAAGAAAAGAAAAGACACGAAAGAGCTTAATCCTTCGTAATGAAAAGAAATAGCACTCACTAGGAACGCTGGGCGATACCCAGAAAAATAATTTCTCACAGCCTGACATGAAAAGGCTCTATCAAGTTACAAAACCAGCCTGAGCCAATAACGTCTACACGGGCAGGGAATTCCTGGCTGTTCATTATCTCTTTCTAGTCTTGTCACTATGGCCAAACAAAACGTTTGTTGCGTTTCCTATAACAATGAAACAGAAAATCAGAGTGAGTAAGATGGGGTTTTTCAGCCCTTTAATTTTTTTTTAACTTGGGATGATTTGTTTTTCCCAACATGCGACTGTCAGATTTAAAACTCCCTGGTTGATTGGTTAAAAAATGTCGTAACTTAGAAAGCATATGGTCATGGCTCCAAACAGGAGAGAAAGCCATTTTTTCAGCTGAGCCATTAAAAAATATAAATAAAAAAGACACAGGAATTACATCCAGGGGTCGTCTTCCAGGTGGGGTCAGGTTGCTGGAAACGCAACCTACTTTTTGACTGGCCTAAAAGAGGAGGAATGGCTTTTTTTCTTTGTGTGCTCACCCCCAGCCCTTGGGCGTTGGGCAGCATGTTCTCCTCGGGAATCTCTACATCTTCCATCACGATCTGCCCCGTCGTTGAGGCACGCAGGGAGAACTTGCCCTCGATGGTGGGCGTGGACAGCCCCTTCAACCCTCTCTCCAGGAGGAAGCCCCGGATCCGGCCGCCCTCTGCCTCGTTCTTGCCCCAGACCACGAAGACATCGGCGATGGGGGAATTGGTGATCCTTCGTGCAAATCGGAAAAATAAAAATTCACACCCGATCCAAGGCTCACATTTTGTACCACACTCAGGCAATTCAGCACAAAGGTGAATTCTATAACAGAGCTCAGTGCTATTCACAGGTCGAAATGAAATTAGTTGTCAAAAACCTGGCAAAGAAAATGCAAGGTTACTGTAATGGGGAAAAATTTGTTTTCTTTTATGAAGAACAAAAGCAACGAGTTCATGAATAAAATGACAATTTTTTAATGGAATTTTCCACGTGTGCATCCTCGGAGGATGAAGAAATTAAGACATATAAACATGATAAAAGCCAGAGTACGGCTTTTAACTTTTCATGACTTTTCACGGCTTTCACGATTAAATCTTCAATTTTTTTCCTCACAGTTTTCACAGAGTGAAGGGGTTTTTACAGATGAGATGATATTTTAATAATCAGGAGAATGCCTTAATTGCTTTGACGCATAAATAATTGAATACCTCTTTAACTGGATATACGATACCCCTCAAAAAAATTTTCATTTTTCATCCATGTTTGTCTTTCACAACCCTATGGTATCAGTCAAACAAAGATGCAACAAACAAAACCTGAAATAACACGATAACTGGCAGTTCTGTGAGAAGAAATTTTCCCTTCATTTCTTCGCCTCAATAATTTCCGTACTACTATCAGATAAAAACTATCTCACCATGACTTGGAGCCATTCAGCGTGTAGCTCTTTCCAGCCGGATTGTACCGCGCTCTCGTTTCCATGCCCGATGGATCACTGCCGTGGTTGGGCTCCGTCAGCCCGAATGCACCAACCAATTCACCAGTTGCTTAAAATGTCAACAAAAAACCCCACTACCTGTAAGTTACGCGATCTGAATAGTTATTGTTTGATGCAATTATAAATAAAGTTTTCAATCTGTCAGTAAGTAAAGTTTGAGTAATCTTAAAACTTTAAAGCTTAAATTCTCAAAATAAGGTTGGCTGGTTCATAGCTTCCAATAAAGCCTAACTCAAGTTAGATGATGAATAGAATGAGTACATGTAGGTGCGGTGTGTGGCTATGGCAGTCCGTCGCCGTCAACGGGCTGAACAATTTTGAAAAGTGCACAACGTCCCCATAAATTTGATGTAGATACCACAAAAACAAGAAATTACAAACAACTTTCTCACCCAGCTTTGGAAGGTACAGCTGCCGTTGTTCTTCCGTACCATAGGCATGGATGGGGTGCATAACCAGCGACGATTGAACGCTCATGGCCGAACGGTAGGCGGAGTCAACCCTTTCCACCTCCCTGGCGATCAGACCATAGGCAACTGAGGACACACCAGCACACCCATAGCCCTTGATGGTGGGACCGAGAACGCCCAGCGCGCCCATTTCATTCATTATCTCTCGGTGGAAGACTGCATTATGAAACGGGTAGTAATCACAATGTATTCAATTTTCGTTAATTACTGGGACACTTTGAGGTGAACCAAAAGACTCTGACAGGTCTCCATAGCAGGAACGATCACAGACTGTCTCAACCTTCACATGACGGCAAAGAGTTTTAAAGCAGTTGGAGGGAATCACACATTTCAGGCCAAGGTTTGTTGATTAATTGGTCCACTAACTAGGGGAGTTGCACTACTTGGTTCTGAGAGTCCAAAAAAGTGTAATAGTGAAACATGTTATACAAAAAAAAAAAATTAAACTGCTTACGGTTTCCAATCTCTAACTACATTCTCTCCTACTCCAACTGACAGCAACACAGCCTAGCTTTCAAAATTTAATTGCTGAAGTGTAATGCTTCAAATTCAAATCACCTGTCTTTATGGTGCAAAGGCTCGTGAAATATGCTGCCCGCTCAGAGAAAATGAGTCGCGAGTCGCAATAAAAAAAGAACCTTGCATCATGGAATCAACGGGAATCCTCAACATTTTCTCATCCAAACAATGTCCAGTTTCTTCAGGATGCCAAACTGAGTGATACATCACAACAAAAAGCCTCTTCTTGTGCCAACAGAAACAAAATTATTAAAGCAAGTAACCTCATGGCTCACTATCACAGAGCAGGTCACGCATTTTGAAAATTTCATAGTCTTAGGAGTGAGCTACGTTGACATATTGTTCTAGACGTTTTGTTTTGCGAAGATCTAAACTCAGAGTAGATTGTATAGCACAAGACATGTACTAAGTTTCAATCCTAATTGTGAAGTCCTGAAGCCATGAACATTAGGGCCGGGGTTACTCAAGCTATGATTTTGAAGGGTAGCGACGCCAGTCATAAGCCCATCTCTACCTGGGCTATGTACATTCCTCACAAAGCCCTCCGACCACCTGTACCTTCATTTCTGTTGGCCATCAGGACCCTGGGCATCAGTTTCTCCTGGCAGTAGGCGTTCATCTGGTCCCGGACCATCGCCTCCTCTTCCGTCAGGTGACACTCCAGGTTCAGGGCATCCTTCCAGTCGAACTGGACCTTCTCTGGTGGGGCTTGCCGAGCGGCGGCCCGAGGGTCGGCTTGGGGGTGAAACTGGGTCAAAGAGAATACTAGGGAGGTGTGGAGGCTATTGACTGCGTGCAAGAGCGATTGGGGGCGCTCTGCTGCTTCTTCATGATGGGGCACCACCTGAATGAGTGATGATTTGGACCATCTGGTCAGCCATTTTGGAACCAGGCTCTGTGCAACCACCACGTTTGCATTCAATACCTACATGATTGGCCGTCCAACTGATTAACTGTATGGCATCAGTTCAATTGTGGTTGTTTAAAAAACAACTAACGTGTGATGGGTTGATGGCTGACAAACTAATGTCGGGCACAAATGGTTGATGCTGCTAATCAACCAATCTTTGCACAATTTGTTTGTTTGTTACTTTAACCCAATTACCTTTTCTTTCTAATTCACGATTGTGAAAGACTGTTTCAAAATATGGGAAGTTAAGTTGGATCAGCCTATCGATCGGCTAGAGCAATCAGGCAAAGGTAGATTGGCCAAGTATAGCCTTTAGAAGCTAGCCCTTATCTGAGTAACTAAGAAGACCCTGGGTTCCAACTCCCAGTGTTCGTCTTTATTTTTTGGTCCCAAAAAATGAACAATTTCTCTTGTTATCTCAAAACTGACTCCAATACGTATTTACAGAGTTTTGCTTTTTTCTGATTCGTGGCTCTAGAGGATTTGGCCTAGTAGTAGGGCTATAACCCTGACACGCCTGAAAAATGTCTGAATGCAGGAGGAACAGGTTTACAAAATAGGGTAACCATGGCCATGGGCCCACTTTGTCCGAACATCACATGCACAAAAGCCAACAAAATGATTTTAAAAGGATACAAATATGTGTCGCAGTTGCCGCAGCTGTCGATGCCGTGCCTTGGAATCGTAGCGACGACAGAGACACAAGCGGTCGCCAGATCTGTCTCGTCACAACGTTGTTCAGAGCCATCGTGTCCCTTGTCAGTTACAAGAGTAACCCTTATATATTAAAGCAGAATATAAATAACCGTGTTTGACAACTTCGCTGATAATTATATCAAAAATTCGAAATGTGAAATGTGTGAAAATGATCAAGGATACACACGATACACATACTAATACTACGTGTTGTATAATTTAGTCTGGTACCTTTAATCGCATTTCGTTTCATATGAGCATGTCGTGTTCCCAAACAATGAAAACTCAAGGTCATATACCCGGACGACATAAGCGAAGCGTTTCACCGTGTTCACTTTTTCCTCCGACTATAATTTGATGAATATTCATAAGTATGATGCTGCGACGCGCGCATTTGCTTGCCCAAAAAGTTTTTAAAAGAAATGTGAGAATCAGCCGAGTAAGGCTTCAGTTCTTAATTGTAAATGACACAACAGCAGGAGGGTTTGGTGAGAGCTGTTTAGGTGCACCAGTGAAGAAGAGCTGATATTCGTGGGTGTGTAGATTTCTCAAATCCGAACTGAAGATAGCTTATGCAACTTTTCATCGAGTTTACCTGGGCCTATGCGTCTCCCTACTACATATGGTGCATGGTGCTACCTAACTTCCAAGTTCCAGATAGGCTTGTGTAGGTAAAAATGTCCTCAATTCTAAAAATACTGTCAGTGTGTGTAAGCTAAGATAATATCGTGCATGTTGTAATTAATCAAAAGAAAAATTGATGAAAATGCATGGGAATAAGTCTACCAATTATTTCCACATTTTTGTGAAGAACTTTTGATAAAGTTATATTTCTACTTTGCAGTGGAATTTCCAGTCAACTGTTCAAGTGATAGGCCTACCTCTAATTTAATATTACAAATGGTGTGTGAAGAAAAATTACATGGGAGTTTTCCTCTTGGTTTGCCGGAGTTTAATGAAAGAGGGCTAGGCCTAAATTAAAATTGCATGGATCAGGGATGACTGTCCGACTAGTTTTCACTGTACATGTATTTTTGGTTTGGGTCTGTAAACAGCATTTTCGTTCTTGGTGTTGACAGTTTCTGTGTGAGCCCAGTGCTATTGCCTGTCAGTGATTTTATTGTGCGCATGAAGGTCCGACAGAGCTAGGTTCTTTAAGATCCATTTCTTTTGTTCTGTGTCATTTACAACCACTCACACTCCATGTACATGTAAGTTGACGTGCATTTTGTTCTTGTTTATAGACATGTTTTGCTTGTTTTGAATATGTATTAATTCCCTACATGTAGCTCTCTCCAGGCAAAACATCTACAACAAGGGAGACAATGTTCTCACACTACCAGGCTAACACACTTTGCTGGAATCGTACGGGGAATCACATGACAAAGGCATCTTGGCAGTTGGTGTCTGATGCAATAGTTTGCATATCTTGCACTTTTTCTCAGCACAACGTGATACACATGTGAAACTCGAAGTCCATACCGAACTGTTGTCCAGGAGTGATTTATATACACTGTATATAAATATACATGTACATGTGGCCTGAATTCCAAGTTTGTTTTGAAGTTGAGCCAAGTCATGTGACAGCACCTGCTGGGCACATCCTAGTAAAATGAGCCTGTGTGCCTGTTTGCACGTCAGCAGATTTTGTCCACGTCATATGGATGGCCTAGTCCATTCCATGGTGGGGTTGTGACCTTGGGCACTTAATCTCCACGGTCTGCATAATGTACAGTACATGTACAGTGTACATATACATTCCACTACCTGCTGTGTACTTCAGGGAAGAGGCCCCACAACCCAAGTTACAAAGCTATGGACTCCTGCTGTGTGTAATGTACAGTGTACTGTAAGAGTGGGTTTGCCTAGTGGTAACACTGTGCAGACATACATGTACATGTATTGCACATTCTCTCCTGCCCCTGCATATGATGTCAGCAAGCATTACTCTCATGGTGGGCTGATCTTTGAAGTGCCAGACTGTGTTTTCACTCGCAGCAGGATATGGGGCGCATACCACATCCTAGATCCTGAAAAGAACGTGATGACTTTCACAATGGTTCCAACTTCCATGTATTGCAACCGCATACCCAACAGTCAGGGTTCTTTCTGACAGTAAAGAGTGGTTGCGTCACTGCACCTGTAGGCATTGGTTTGGCCATGTTTCTGCCTCCATCATCCACGATCAGGGATTTCCGTACAGATATGAATATGTATGTACATTGTAGGTCTTTGATTTGCTCTTGGAACACAGAAATATGCTGAAAGTCAGCCATTAAACCACCATTGCTCAAAACATAATTTTGTGTCAACTTTACAGAGTTGCAGTTTGAATTATGCATCACATCATTTTTTACATCTATGCAGATGTTCCTAAATAGTATGTATGCACGGTGAGTGTAGGCCCTACATGATGTAACAACCAGCTTGAGATTGTTAATCGAAAAATGATTTCTCCCGTAGCACCCTAAAACCATGCAACAACTTCTTCCTTCTTATTTTGCATCAGTCTTCACCCTGGACAAGAAAGTACATTCATTTGCATTCTAATTGCCTTGGGTCCAAAGCAGGCTTGTGGCAGATTGGTACCCAAGACCATGGAGAAAGAACACAAAACCCAGGGCACTTGTCATGGTGGCAGTATCTATATATAGTTACCATAGCACATATGGTTTAATAGCTCCATGGTTAGAGCATCCAGCAAAGACCCCATCTACTGCTTCACTGAGCAATAAATTATTCTTTCCTGGAATTCAGAGGGGTCAGGCAGGGATTACCATAACAAACCCATCTGCTTCTAATATCAGTGCAGTGTGTTGCCTCCCCCTTGTGAACCGTGGACCAGTCCATCTTCTATGCAAATGGAGATAACCTAGACTTGTACAAGTCTTTTAGAGTTGTATTTTAAATACGACTTCTCAACTCAAAGAGGAAGAGATGTTTTGAGCCTTAAATGAGAAATGAACATTTTGATCTTTTGTCCTTTATTCACTTTTCAACAAGGGCGTTATATTTTTTGCATATACCTAATAAATGAGGTGGCACCTCATTCCAGAGGAACGTGCAAAGGTGACTGTGACAAGTTGAGTATTTCCAGAACAAGGGACCCCTTGGGAGGCAATGGCCCATGTTGATCAACACAGCAGCCGTTTCTGGCGAATCAGGTCAGTGTTAGGTTGGCAAGCTACTCAGTGGGAGCAGGCAGCTCGGAGCGCTGATGCAGAGCTCGAATGCTCCATTGTGGGGTCAGAGTCTGTTGTTGTGGCTGGGTTTTGTGAGGCACTTTCGAGTGCTAGCCTCTCTTATTTGCCTCAACGGACTGGCTGAAGAATCGGACTGCTTCTTGGACTCGCAGCCTACGGATTGGTGATTCTCCTGTGTGGGTGCCTAGCTGGATACCTATCTGCTCTGCATTTGTTGACTGCATTTGTTGGCTTGTTTTTCACGAACCCGTGCACAGTCACAACTCATTTGTTCAAGGCTGAGGGATCTCTGTTTACAAGTAGGTAGGTGACGGTTCCTTTTCCTGTGCATGTACGTGTATGGCAGTCACCATGGTCACAGGATGTATTGAAAACATTTCGATGTAATCTTATTTTCACTGCAGTCGTGGTCATGGTTGACTCCAGACTGTATCCTATTTGTATGTGTAAGCAAAACTTCCGTAGCACATCTGGTTTCCAATTTATTTTGTAATAAACTCAACATTTTATCCTACATGTACATTGTTCCTTTGATTTTCAGTTCTTGTATGAATGTGCACATGTGCACGTAGAGTACGAACTTTATCATATGTTGCCCTGTTTACTCCTTCATTATTTAAATCTGGAGAGTGCTTGATCTGTACATGTATAGTTACCTACATGTATGCACTTGTCATGGTTTTATAGTGAGCCATGTGAGGGAAATCAATAGAAATCAATTGGAAGCCTGACCAGCCTATTGATCAAGTTTTCCTTCAAGGTGAACTTGTTAATTCTGTGCCGTATGAGTTTTCCTTCAAGGTGAACTTGTTAATTCTGTGCCGTATGAGAGCAATTTTGTTTGAGTTTTAAGCAGGTTGAATTGTAACACACAATATCTGTGTTACATACATGTAGATGTACGTATGTACTTGTATTCACTCTTTCACTTGACCTTTGAATTTGCAACGATCAACTCCGCGGTGTCTCAACAAAGTCCCAAACAAATGTGACGTGTGTCAGCAAAAAGAATTTTCTTCATCAATTGACAGATGGCCGCAGTGGGCGTGTACCGTATGCAGTGTTAAAGCAGTGAAGCATGAGAAGTTTTGTGCCCGTGAAATTCAGCTTCACTGAAGAAAGTAAACACTGCCTGTCAGCCAAAAAATAGGGTAACTCCACGTTGTGCATAAAGCTTAGCAGTGGATGTTATGCATCACCCGTTTTTATGAGAGAAATGCCCTGTAGTGTACGGTAGGATATGTACCATAGGCATAGGCTGGAGTGGGTAGCAATCGTATTACAGGTGTGCAAATTTTCCTTGGATCAGCTGATTTCCTCAATTTTCACTTCACACTCGTGCCAGTGAAAATTGGGAAAACACTGTACAAAATGTTGTAAAGGGTGGAATTTCCTCTTCCTGGGACCATATCCAAGCTGCATGCCTGACATTGAATACAGTTCCGAGCCTACGCATGTTTATTGCTTTGGTGGTGTGCACAAACATACTGGTATTTCTTGCATAATTACTTATATTTATGCCCAACATGAAACTCAGATCTGCTGATATATTTTAGGAACACGTATCAAATGTAAGTTACATGTCCCACACCATATTTGCTCCTTTCCCTTCAATCCATTCAAGTAATGGTGTTTGTTTGGGAAAGGGCGGCGCTTCCTCAACAATTGAATTTCTGCTTCAGTGGATAAGAAGCACAGCATGACATTTGCTGTTGAAAGTGATGTTAAAAGTAGATGTTGTTTCCTGTTGGTCGGGTTTTTCCCTGTGAAATGACAAGCTTGTGCAACTGCCAGTGTGTTTCGTCAAGGAAAAAAGAATGTTGCTCAATCACAAAATTCCTGAGTGGTTCCGTATTCCACATATTGTAGGCAGCTTTGAGTGTTTTTGCATGTGACCCTCAGATCTATGCCATAATTTATTGGGTTACTGTTCTGCTTCATTGGCTACATTGTTCAGCGTAGTCACACTTTTGGGTTTGTGCCAATTTCCGAGTCCTCACACCCCTTCTGCTTGTACCCCTGCTGACTTC